TTTATTTTAAAAAAATAGAAAAAATGCAATTATTCTTTGTGACTGATAAATTTTGCTAACTAATAAAGAGACGACAAAAAATAATTTTTCAATAACATTCTTGTGCAGTCTGCTAGTTTATTTTATGTCAAGTCATCAATTTATCTTCGCATTTCAATTTTCGAAAACATTTCTCGCCGAAAGCGTGGACACAAGAGATAGCGCGAGTTTTATCGTTTAAATTTCAACGTGCGAAAATTTCAATTTTTCCAGCTGGTGGATATAAATATATACGCTGATACTGTATCCAGATCACTCGTAAACTATCGTGCCGTTTAGAGAATCCGTAGAAAGCGTGACGTTTTCCGAAAAAAAAGTGCGTTGCATTCTCCCTTATTCATTTGTTTAAGTCGATATCTATCTGAAATTTCTCTTTCTGATAATACCTTCAATATATTCTTAAAAAACGTAAGAAACGTATTCTGATAGTACCTTTATCGCAGCTAGAATTGAGCAATTGTTACGAGGTAGAAAGTTCATGGACTGAGGAGTATTTTTTTCTTCTTGAAACAAAACAACATGAAATATATGAATAAAGTCATGTATTGAGAAAACTGATTGTTTGCATGAAAATTAGCGGCTACTTTCATATAAACGTCAAATTCAGTGCATAATTTATACGTTAAAATATTTATTGCGTACATATTATTCAAGTAATTTGTTTAAAATCGATTCCATATTTTATTTTTGTGTGAATGTAATATTTTATAATATAAAAAATGTAATATTTTATATTACATAAATAATTTAAAAATTATCTAGCGTTAAATGTTTAATGAGAGAACATAAATCATAATTTCTACCGAGTTGTTTCTATCGATTTTCCGTTTTTTTTCCTATCCTTCATTTTTTAGAATTCGCGAAGACGCAAATGTGTCAACGAGAAAAATTACAAAGAAACTAATGAAAAATGAGAAAACTTAGAGACAAAGAAATATCCTTGGATTATTATTGATGATCGAAAAATATAATCATTTATTGATATGCTTTACTCTGACTAAAGAAAAAATATTTTACCTTTTAATTCATTATTACTGACACAAATATTTTCGAACTCGTAACAAATGTATAATGTATATATGGAAGCTTCTCTAATATTATCATTAAAATTGCAATCATCAGCGGTGTCACGTGTGTCGTCGACATTACCCTGTGATTACTCCCGCTACCGTTGACGGTGATTGTCTACGCGAAACAGTCCTCCTCCCTCCCTCTCCCCTACCTCCCCTCCTCGTTTTAGCTACTTTTAACCTCTTATCTCTTAGAAATGTTTAAAGTACGTTCATATTAAATGTACGTATATATTAGAAGCTTTAAGGAGATTAAATGCATCGTTATAAAAAATTTAACTGCCAGTACTTTCTATGCGAACACAGTTCATTTAATGTTACGCTTGTGTATTTTATTTTTTTTATAAACAGCTCTATATATGTATATATCTTGGAAATGGATGCGCGTGTTTCTCCATGATATCTACGTTACCTGCGATATCAGGAATATTCCGTCGGCGAGTGGATGGACAATGTTTGCTTTTCGCTTCATATCCAGATGTTATGATCAATATACATATATACACACACACACACACATATATATATATATATATATATATATATATATATGTATATATTTAAACGACGATGAATGTATGTGTGTGTATAATAGGTAAATTCGATATTAGTAATGTATTCATCTTGAATGCAGAGAACTTTTACGCTTTTACTTTTTTTTATTAATGCTCTACAATCTATGTGGAATGTTGAGTGAATTATTTAATCAATTACAGTATCCTTTTGTCGTGTGAAAATTTTATTAATTTATAGCTTTTTTTTACTATCTAATAACTGAAAAATCCGAGGAAACATCGTTGTCTATCTCAGAAGCTGAGATAATCGTATTATTACTTAAATATTGCTTTATTTAAAATTGACCGTATATTAATTCGTTTTATTAAATTTTATTAAATATATATCGTCACGTTAATCTAATTTTCGGTCAGTATTAAAATTGAAATCATCAATATCATTCCGTTTTTGATCGAAATTAGAGCCTGTCCATATTTCAATTTTTTAAATATTAATCAGCAAATTAATAAAAATATGTATCTGTTCCAATAAAACTGATTGTGAGATAGATTATAAAATATGGATATAGTTTGAGGACATTATTATTGCCATTAATATCACGTGACTATATCTCATTACGTTTTTTAAGGAAAAATGAGTAACAAGAAAATATAGGACACGTCACACAAAAATACGTATGCAAAATAAAGTAGGTTACAATGAAATGAATTTTTATGTGTGAATATTCTTCGATAAATTCATAATTATTCTTAAATTTTGCAAAATCTTGTCACATGTTGAAATACGTAATCCAACAAAGTGTCAACAATAATAATATCTATAATATTATTAAATTTACATAAATGTGTTATTGTAAAATAATGATATATAAATAAACGTAATAACGCGAACAATAGATTTGTCGATCAATTAAATAAATTTGATATGAGTTATTAATCCGAATCATCATCTGCGTCTTCATCAGTCAGAGTTTTGATGGACAAATAAAAATTTCCGTTTAGTATGTTTCTTCCGAATTGAGAAACGATTATCGTTTATAGAGACTACCTATATTCGCGCATTTTCTCAATTTCGTGTTCTGAATACATTCGCATACGATAAATGTTTCATTGATGGGAATCAAGGCTGTTCAGACTCGCACAGCCATTTCGTCGCGATTCCCTGAGATCATGATGCTCCGATTTATCGGGGCTCCTTCGCGCCAACGTTTCGCCGCAGCGCCCATGTTTCATGCGATATGAATAATAATCTATGGGATGACTACGTCGCTCGCATGCCTCACGCAAGCGTGAGCCAACGTAGGATTTCATTGCCATTCGTAATTGAACCATATCGATTTTTCGATTCTTTATCGACAATCAAATAGAAAGATCATGCAGAAATATATGACAATAAAAATTGACTATTATTTTAAATAATATTACAATATAAAACTGTGAAGAAATATAAATCTTTTTTTATAACAAATTTTTATATAGATCTTTATACATATCCAAATGTTAATTTTCGTGAATAAATCGTCTCTTTAAAATTTTCGATATTCACGATGAAAGTAATGGCTTGAAATGTTAAAAGCAATAATATACATCCAGTTACAAATTCTATGGCAAATTGGCGAAAAAGCTCGCGTCCAGTTGGCTCTCGCTCGTTAGGCGACGAGCGCGGTAAAAGTTACGCAAATATGTGCAGATAATGTGGGAAAGGGATATTAAAAACCGGGATATAATTACAAGCGATAGTGCGATACTTTACGATTCTAAAACCCTTTGCAGTTCTGAGGCCAACACTGCGTGCCAAACGTTCCACTCGTGAAAGCGCCGGAAGCGTCTCAATTATCGCGCGATGTAAAAATATTTTTATGATTTATCGCGCAATAAATAACATATTATAGCGCAATATATACTAGCAGAACGTTCGGTGCATGTTTTATTCAACGGCCACTCGACGATAGTCGAGTCGGCAAAGGATCAGAGGAAGCACGTGAACGTGTCAAAGTCTTCGAGATAAGAACTTTTTCATGTACTTTGTAAGATTATTATATTATCGCGCATCTTTATCGTTTCGCCTCTCATATTTATTGCATACATATGGGATAAAAACATTTATGACGTTACGAAAATATTTTGTATGTATAATATACGAGGAGGAAATATAAAATATTTACGGACGTAACTATAACATGTTAGTGTGTTAAAAATATTTTATTTATCTATTCTTTACTTATTTATGGCGAATGTTTTGATAATGATCATGGCATAATATATAAATATTATCATGTTTCTATTGCATTTACATTTTTCAAGATTTATATATTTATTTAAAATTAAATATAATATATAAATTATAATTTTATTTAAAATTAATTTTATTAAAAATTTCTAAAAGGATATCTTTACGCATTATATTTTAATGCTAAACTTTCTCTCTAAAATGTCAGCGTTTTTGCGTAATTATAATAAATAATAGAAATAAATCGTGAAAAGCTATGATTGCAATATTAATTATTCGATTTTTTAGCTTCAAAGAACTGCTTCGAATCTTAAGATTCACGAGCTTCCTCAAAATCGCCGATCAAACTGTTTCACATTTTTCCGTAACTTTTAGAACGATGCAGCAATGCGAGATGTATCGTTCACATTGCGAATATACCGTTCTATTTTGAAATGCAATATGCACGACGATGGTACCTCTCTTGTCGAGGTCGAGTGGACACTCGTTTTTCGTTTAGTTTCATTATTCATTGCAAACGATTACATATCGATACACGCATACGACTTGTATTAAATTGAGAGTTATTCCCCGAAAATTAAATTAACTTATATTAATCAATAGTAAAATGTAATAATATGTTACAATTCAAAAATATGGAAATATGTACGTAATATCTCGAAAGCCAATTGGAATTTCAATCCAATTGAAAAAAAGAAGTAAATCGATCCAAACTAAATAATTACAAACGGCTATGAATCGTAATTATTTCAGTTATTATTTATTCTGAATGAAATAAAGTAAATGTAACGGTAGGGAGAACTAAATTAAAATCATCGTATGTCAATACCGCGGGATATCACATCGTGCGCGATGAAAAAAGAAACACATGCGCAATATTTCGATGCTGATTGCAATTTGCATCGGCGCATCGGCACGCAAAACCACCATGTTAAACGTGTGCTCGCTCGACCCTCGGTGTGTCTCTTTCTCTCTTTCTCTCTCTCTCTCTTTCTCTTTCACTCTCTCTCTCTCTCTCTCTCTCTCTCTCTCTCTTTCTCTCTTTCTCTCTCGGCAACATGCTGTGCCGCTACAATATGTATATATCAGATCAATGTGTATCCATAATAATCAAAATTCGAAACAAGACACAACTGATGAACTCACTTGTTGTAGAGCACTATGTCAGGCCGCCATATGTGATCGGACGGCACGTGCAACATCTGAACTCCTCCATACTCCTTCGGCTCCCATCGCAATTTGTAGTCGTACCATGACTTGAAACAGCCAATATAACAAATATAAACACATTATTGACACGCTTCTGCATGTGTTATCGCATCAAGTTTAATATAATTATTATATATTTTTTATTTAAAAAGAGACAAAATATTGGAGGGATTTATAGGTATAAGTAAATAGTATGTTCATTTATAAAAATTATAATATGCAATGTTCTGCAATGTTCATCAATATCAATATTTGATATTGAACAAAATTTTTTGATTAATTAGTAATTAATAATTGATTAATAATTAATAATGAATATTAATGATTAATAATTAATATTGATTAATAATTAATAAGTTATAAATATTTGTTGAATAATTAACAATAAAAAGTAACGAATTTTTTGCAAATAAATTTTCTTAGATATGAAATAAATCTTATTTTCATTAAAATTTTATTTTCATTTAATTTCAAATATTTAACTAACAATAAATATTATTTTATATAATGTTATTTTATTTGTAAGTTGAATGTTATGGAGATATGCAACGATGAAAATCTTAAAGTTGTAATAAATAATAATTTTTATAGAAATTTTTTTTTCATTGAAGAAAATTAACTTAAATGAATCAAACAATTCTCTTTATTAAAATGATAATTTGAGATTGAATGTATGTATTATATAATTTTATATATATATATATATATATATATATATAATTTAAAAATTATATATATATATATATAAATATATGTATAATTTTATTATTTTGTTTATTTTATATAAAAATATTTATATTAAAGAAAATTTTGTATATATTCATTAACATCCAATTTCATGTTTAAAAACTGTTTTATTTGATTATAATATGAATAACAAAACATGCAATAAGCTATACACTTACTACATACAATGTAATATAATTTTAATCATTTCGATCTACATCTCATGTTGTTTTTCCCACTTTTCCAGCCAGTTGTTACCCCAAAGCCCAGACGTAATTTCTTATGACTTCTGTTGTTCTGTGAGACGGTAAAAGCCGCGTTTCCCCACAGTTATCGTCGCGGACTAAAAACCTGAGAGACAGAGAGTCGCGCACTTTTCTCAGCAAATATTTCCCGCCGATATTTTTCTTAAAAAAACTGTCTTTGTCTGCGATCCGACAAAGAATTTAATTTGTATTAGTGAATATTTGAACAAGCTATATTTATATATTTCCTATATTTTTTTTTCTCTCTCTCCTTCTCTTTGCATGTATGAAAATCTCAATAAGAATAAAACTTTCAATATTTTTAAATGTCTGATAATAATCTTTTTCATCATAAATTATTAATTGATTTTGCTAATATAGAATAAAATTAATAATTGATATATATTCGAATGTAAAGAGAAGAAATAAGATGAAAAAATAAAGAGAGAAATACTCTTCTAGAAGGATACTCTTGCTTTTTTCTTTATTTCTATCAGGACATAAATTTGTCACAGCATGAAAATATATTATGAATCCTAAATCTCAAAATATCAGACCTACATTGCGTTTAAAAAAAAAACAAGAATTTATTTAATACTAAAAGTTAAATATATATTTACATACTGATTATTCTCTCTCTCTCTCTCTCTTTCTCTCTCTCTCTCTCTCTCTCTCTCTCTCTCTCTCTCTCTCTCCCTTTCTCTATAATTTTTTTTACTATTAGTTTTATATAGAAATATTTATTGTAATAATGTTTTTAATAATTTATTATTATATAATTCCGTAATATTTTTAATAATCGTTATTATCCCTTATATACAAAAAAATCAAATTTCTTTACAAAATTAAAAATAAAAAATAATGTAACAAGTATTCACAAATTACAAAGAAGCTTCAAAGTCTTTAGAGAGATTACATAAAAAATAAAAAATAATTAATATAACTTACCGGTACGATGCGCAACAGCGGAGTTGTGGTATATATTGTATAACGTTGATTCTGTAAAATACAAATATATCCAAAATTATAAAGCAGTGTCCAAAATATTTTCAAATAAGTATTTTTTAAAATGATTATTTGCACACAATTAAATATTTTAATCACGAGAAAGAAATATTTCATTAAAAAATATTAAAAATAGTTATTTATATAGTTTATAAAATTTTATATAATTAATAAACATTTAATTTTAGGTAAATAATTAAAATTATTATCAATTTAAAATATTTGAATATTTTATACATATTTCTCTGTAAATATTAATTAATATATTATATTTTATAATGAATTCTTTACAATATTTAAAAACAAAATTTAGAACATTTTATTTACATTATAAAACACGAAATGATGTAAAACTAATAATCGCAGAACACAATTAATTTTACAAAATTAGTAAGCAAAAAATCAACTTATTCAATCGTGCTTACCTCAGGATTGCTCTGCCGTTGCCCGATGCCTCCCCGGGCTGCTCATCCTCTCTTATCATCCAATACGGCTGCTTCTTCGAGGCACTCGCACAATATTCACTCGCGAAAACATGATTAATTACAATTGCATAAACTAATCAGTAAGATCCGATGATTGCATGACACTTTACACGGCACTTCCATTTATCGCACGTGATTACAACTTATTTGATATTTGAAATTCACTCAATGATTTTGTTAATGTTTATTATATTTGAGTTATGCGCTTTCGTTATGGGAGCTTCTCGAATCTCTAACCTCAAGCTGCGGATCTCAAAATCCGGATCGAAGAACCAATATTTAATGTAGAATGTTAAAGAGTAAATTTTCTATTGATTTAAAATGGACTGTATGAATAAGATGTTTCAATAATTGAGACTGTTACAAATTCAGTATTAACTGAGTGATAGTAGAGCGTTACACAAATTAAACGCGACTCTCTTAGCACTGTCTCATTAACTAACTAATATATATAACTGTTTTTGGGACTAGGACGGACTAACGCCATTTAAAGATACTAGCTCGATACTACTTCAATATAAATATCAAAGCGCGCAACTCAAATATAATAAACATTAACAGATCGTGACGTTTGTTGCCAACAAATACAAGTTAGAATCAAAGACAAATATTCCTAGAATTTAATATCCGAATGTAATATCGCCGAAACGGTATAGATTTTGAACAAGCTACGTAACTTGACCTAAACACAGCCGTTTTAATAAATTACCAATGTGCAAACGCTAAATGCCAATTTATCATAGTAAAATATTCAAACGTATCATTAACTACGTCATTAAATATCTCATTTATATATAAATATGTCTACACTTTTTAATCAAATGCATTGTAACAGCGCTCGATGCTTGGAAAGTTTTACGAATCACATCGAAAATTAATACTAGCGCGATTCGAGTTAATTGAAACGCGATGAAACTTATACGAAAATATACAACAATAAATTTATCTGCTATTATTTCTATTTTTAAAGAGCTTGAAATATATGTTTCGATAAATAGCCGTCACTCGCGTACGTACGTTAATTATTAACTTAATAATCTCAAATTATCATAATTATAATGAACAATCGCGTTCGACGTATCTTTAGTACTTGTCGGAATGATAGCTCGTGTAATAATACGACGTATCAAAACAATTCGGGCACGTTCCAATCTTCCCCCACTCGAGTCTCGTCACGCAAGCGTCAAGGCCAAGACAGACAATACTACGTTTATAATCGGCGGCCTTGAACTTGAGCTATTCACGCGGTGAAACTCGCGAGTCGGTGGAGGGGGAACATTGGAATGTGATGCGAGGCGTTTCGTTGATACGTCATATTATTTCATGAATTACTTCAAGCCTCGTCTACAGTGGATCGCAAGTCGCAAGTGATTATTCTGATAAATAATAGATTGTGATTGTGATCAATTTGCTTTACGACTCGTGATTCATTGTGGATGAGTCTTTACAACAACCGCTAGAAGCCATCGAATGCGATCGTTTTCTGCAATTAGTGATTTAATTTGTGCGCAAACGCTGATTATAATGTATTTATCAAAATAGATATCTCTCGCGTAACTTATTTCTTCGTGATAAAAATAATATGTATCAATTTCGTGAGAAATTTTGATTGAATATTTTTGGATCCCGTCGCATCTTAATTAATTATTAACTTTCCTTGCGAAATATCAATCGTTAATATTCCACTAGTATTATAATATATATTATGCTGATTTAATTTAATTAAAATATTCAATTTAATTAAAATATTCAAATGTGGATGAACTTTAAAATCGATCGGATCGTTATTAACGCATTTAAAAAAGTACAGTCGTAATTAAATATCTTTAATATTCATCAATTATCTAGCAAATATTCGGCGTTTGTACATCGGTGATTTTCTAAAATGTATATTTTGGACATTTTCAAATTTTTCGATTATTAATAAAAAGCAGTAGATACAGAACGGATCGATTCCGAATTTAGCATAATTAAAGATATTTAGTTAACAAATATAGCCGTATTTAACCATGTATTTCAAAATCATTGATAAGAATACGATTTTATTTTCCGATTATAAACGCGGTGATCTTGTTATTGTTCGCGATAAACTCGTTATTGTTCGCGCAGCGAACAGTGGGAAAGAGAACGCTTGAGTGGGAAAGTAACAATGGCTATACCTGCGTACCTCGTATCATTTCGTGAACTACCATCGCGACGAATACTAGAAGACATGAAATCATTTCTTGTAATTAGCATTTCATAACTCGTAAGAAGTGTCTATTTTTTGAAATAGCATTTTGCGCGATTTATTCCTTTAAAGTAAACAATATAACAAATAACGCGCGTATTTGTTGGCAACAATCGTAACAAGTGAATTTCACACATCGAATAAATCGTAATATCGCAAGTGATTAACATCGAGAGTGCCGTATAAAATACAGTATGATATCGGATAATATTAATTAATGCACGTAATTGTAATTAATCGCGAATGAATATTGTGAACATATACCATGAAGAAGCAGCCGATGATGACAAGGAGAAGGAAGCCCACAGAGACATACTAACAGCAGAGCAATCTTGAGGTAAGCAACATTGATAAGT